ATTCCTGCCACAAAGACACTTAATATGCATCGTTTTCCTCTCCAGACTGACTCCAGTCTATGCGTTTGTGTTGATGCTGTGGGTGTGGGTTTACCCTTACATCATGACTGGTCCTGCTGCCACCACTGCCCCCGACCCCGGCTGTCCCAAAAATTGGTGGTACAACTTTCTCTACATCAACAACTTCTTAGACATGGTCACGGTCAACATACAGGTATGGAGAAGCCAGTTTGTCCTTGTATTGTAATACATGTGTTCTTGTACCTTTGGTTGAAGTCTCAGATTTTGTCTTCAAAGGATTCTGCTACTATAACATTCCTGTTTCAGTGTATGGGCTGGACGTGGTACCTGGCGAATGACATGCAGTTCTTTGTCATCAGTGTTCCAATCATATGGCTGACATTTAGGTAGGCTATAAAATAGAGTACAGTGTACTGGAACATGTCTGTGAAATCTTTCCCTTCGCCAATGTTTTCAGAGGCGTTCGTCTGTGTGCCTGTCTATAAACACTAGTGTTTAGTCATATAGTTGAGGTTTGTATTTCATATTACCTGTACTGTCATGATCTCAATTATTTTCCGATTCTCAGGTATCTCCTGGTGGGAATGATCACCCAGGTTGTTCTACTGCTCGCCAGTTTTGGAGCGACAATCGGCCTGGCCATACACTATAACCTGCAACCCGTCTTAACATCGCCTGGGTAACTCAAAACTTTGATCATCATTTTAATAGTGGGGAACACATACTGGGTGTGCTGTGCATGCATGATACAGAACCTAGTGGTGCGGGGGAAAGCTTGAAAAGAGACAAAGAGGCAACATATTTTCTATTAGACATGGGCTCCGGCTTGGAGATAATAGCCAATGCCCACACGAAGTCTCATTTGTGTACAGTTCAAAAGTTGTTTTAATAGCTTGATTAGATTATAACTATGGTATTTTCGTAATGCCCAAACTTTTGTAGTGTCACACCAACACCAACCATTTTCATTTCATCTGTGTCTAATCGATGCTTATCTATTTTTGTTTTAGACAATACCCTGATGCCACGAACCTGATCTACCAGAAGCCGTACTGCAGGATCGGACCTTACCTGGTGGGACTCATGCTGGGCTATCTGCTCTACAGAACCAGAGGACAGGTCCGCATGCACAAGGTATTAAGGTTATATTCTTAGTACAACTATATTCCTATCTGGTAAGCCCTGCCCAGTCAGAAGTTTGATCTGCTGCTTCTCAGATGGGTCATGCTGAAGTGGTAAATCAACATTAAAGCAGGGGGGGGGGTCTGTACTGAATGAATTACCACTGAAATGGATAAATGAAAATAATTTTTGTATTGTCACAGGCTGTAGCATTGCTAGGTTGGCTGGCAGCTACAGGAATCTGCATGGGTGTTGTGTATGGACTGTACAACCATCTTACTCAGGGGGTGGTTCTGAGTCGACCTGTGGCCATCCTGTACCTGACTGTACACCGGACTGCCTGGGGAGTGGGGCTGGCCTGGGTCGTGTTTGCCTGCGTCAATGGCTACGGAGGTACAAGGAGTGTTTTTGCTTTTTTTTGGGGCAGGAACTTTAAAAATGTTGATGGATGCGGATGATTCACTGATTGGAATGCGCACCATGAGCCTCATTGACGCTTTACCGTAGAAACTTACCGGTCTTCATCTAAAACTAAATTTGAAACTTGCGTCCTTTCAAACCCATTAAAATTTATAGAAAATGACACCATCTTAATTTCTTTTGATAATTCTAAAGTATTTGAAAACAGCATTGTACACTATTATGTTACGTGTTGTGTTGTATCGTATCGTATTTGTCTGTGATTGTTACCACTGTGGGGACACTGAGGGTGATCTGGGGCTGGAAGACATTGGTGACCTGGCGTCAATCGTAGAAATGACTAGTGGTCGACTGCACCGCAGCCGGACGATGATGATGATAATGTTCCTCTGCACGTTTGACCAGCTATTACTAATGTGACCTGAGCGTCATGTAATTCTTATCTATGAACAAAGAATGATTTTACTGCTTTTACCGCAGGTATAATCAACACCATCCTGTCATTGAAAGCTTGGATTCCCCTCAGCCGGCTGACGTACTGCGCCTACCTGGTACATCCCATGGTCATCTACCTCGTATATCAGGACCAGACGGAGACCAATATACACTACACTGACATTCTGCTGGTTTGTAAAAAAAATTGTCTTTGTTCAATGGTAGAAGACATTCAGAAACAGGTTTGGACTGTAATTTCCACACATAATTTGGACATAATTAGGCTTGACTGTTCAACATCAGTCAAGAAGCTCACAGAGTACTACGTTAAACGGTTTTGACGTGATTTCACAAAAGCGGTGGATTGGTCATTCATTGACCAAGATGATTTGAACAGACCTTTATGCTATTTTGTGGGTATGTGATTTTTTAAATGTCTTAAGTTTTCTGTCATTTTTCAGACAATGTTTTGTGGGGCACGTGCCTTTTAAGTGCGCATTTTCTGTCATGTGTCACACGTACTATTATGTGAGACTTTTTAAATGAGTGTTTCCTGTAATTTTTCAGGCATACTATTTCGTGGGGCATGTGGTGTTCTCCTATGCCGTGGCTTACATCGTGAGCATGATGGCAGAAGCTCCCATGAGGCACCTGGAGAAACTGGTGCTGAAACAAGACACCTGAGATCATAGGCTACTGCGGAGGTAGAAATGAATGAATGACTATCTTTTCTTTGGAGTTGTGGTCTATGGTGACCTGCAATGCAATACAATGCAATCGCAGTGCAACCACTGTGTTATTTTATACATGACACATTCCCGGTACTGCAGCAGCGACAGTTAACTGTAACATTGTAGCTGTTAGTATGTTTACATTAGCTGCACGTATTGTTAACTATTTCATTTCTTCGGAGTGAAGGACTTTCCATACTTTCCATAGCTCACCCTAATAAACCTTGTCTCACTTATCCCTTGACCTCGTTGGGGCACCATAATATACCACTGCAGGGAAAAGACTAAATTTTGTCAGCCACGGTTTCATCAATGGTTGCGCATACTTGACAGATCAAAAAGTAACTACCAAAACTTCCAGATAACTATTATATCACGTTCACAGGTCTGTTTTCGAGTGCATTATATCCAAAGTTCACACCATTTTCACGCATGGTATGCCAAAGTAATATCCTAGGAGGTATATGCTAGTATGCTAGGTGCTGGCAGGCTATGACTATATGTATCTGTGCATTGCTGCCATCTACCGACTTGCAATCAGTTGGCCTTCAGCTACAGTAATGACGTCAAATCAAACAGCTCGCTTTGGGAAGTTCTAGTTAATGCAATATTGAAACTAGTTTCGGACGTCATACCAAAATCCCATGTCCCACATTAAATCATAATGAGCCCTTGGGCATGACTTTGCAATAAGTCTGTCATAAACGTACTTTGTGCTTCTTGTACATGATATGCATAACTTTTAACAGTAGGAAACGTTTTCTACTTGTTGGAAATGATTTTCTTGAAACAATAAAATTAGGAATCTTCCGTTTTGTTCTTGACAAAAATGTTTATGAAGTTGTCCCTACATACGTGTAGTGCTAGTCATTGCTTGAAACGTCATTTGGAAGTAGTGTATGCTTGGACCTGTAAATAGAATGCGTAAATAATCTTTGATGGATTTCACGGCTTCCTAACTGTGGTTTTATTACTCATTATCTCCCCTATGTAGGTCTAGAAAAATGGACGAGGATTTGGAAAGCCTTCTGGGGCCTGGTACAAAGCAGTTAGTTCTTGTTAATGGTCTTAAGACGGATCAGCCATTGGCAATAAGGAATTTCGAGGCTTCTACTTTTGCTGTAAAGATGCCTGAACCCAGATAAGTTTCACCATCATAATAAAACAAGCGTTAGATGTTTACACAGGAGGGGTATATATCTTGAGTTTGTGGCCTGTTTCCTGTAATAATGTTGGTGTAATTCTTGCACATTTATGTTCCGTTGATGAATTTTGAGCTCAAAATTGCACGCGAAAGCAATATAGGCAATACACTAGCGAAATATCATCATAACAACTACCACTTCAACAGTGCCTTTGGGGTGTAGCAATCGTACGCACATCAATATTTTGACGGCGCAATGGCTGATATGAAAAAAAATCAAATTAAAGAAATAACAACCGGCACCGAAGAGGTTGTTCCTACGTCCCCACTCGGATTAAAGCCAACATGATGCATTTCCTACCCCACATTTCTCTAGTTAGTGATAACATTGACAATGACCGCTCGAATGATCATGGCGGAAGGACAGGATAAGCAATGATGGCCGCCCAAATCCCGTTCAGCGACCCCAGTTCTCGCGAGACCATCCATCATGTCCAGATGGGACGGGACTCGTTAACCTTATTGACCGTGAGCTTGGTTCCGGGCTGGATTCTGTAACGGTCGGCCGGGACGTTAAAACCGACCGTAATCCGGGAGATGAATCTACTTGGTCATGTAAACAGCTCCTGAATTAAAGTCTTCCTTCGCTGCATGCGGGTAGTAAAAGGGTTAAAGAGAAATGCACGCTTTCTTGTCAGTGACATGTCACTTATCGTGAATATTCTTAAAGTCTTCTGCTGGCTACGTCCTGTTTACTTAGTGGAGCTCAACTGAGAGCACAACTGATTTTCAGGCGGCCACTTAGACTTTGCGCACTGACCGCCGATGTCACCGATACAAATCTGATGAATTCAAATGTATCTTTAGTAGAGGAACGTTGGAAGCTTCTCCTTCAGCCAGGTTCGACTCAGCTGAGAAATTCATTCAGTCATAATTTCCCTTATTATTCCGGCGCGATTTCTAATCTGAAGTCTCAGTGGCGGCTTTTCTCCACATTAATTTCTTGTTATCCTATAGGCGCTACCTAGCAAGACATGGAGACTTTGCACTGAACACGCCATAGCTGCTTTCCACCGGCATAAATGCGAAACAATTTCAATTCTAGGGCACCTAAGGTTACGCACTCCTTTCTGAATATAGCAAATGACACTAGTGCACTAAAAATTTGCGATAATTTGGTCTTTTCCAATTTTACTACTGTTCGTCGCGACCGAAAACTGCCCGAGAAACCCATTGTTTCAGAATCAGATGGTGTAATCAGGAAAGAAATGAAGCTTTGATCATGAACAATGAGATCGTTGTTTTTGGTGGAGTTTACAGGGCAGAGCGATCTGGATTCCGGCCAAAGTGATAGACAAGAGTAGTTTGACACGTAGGACGACACTATCACACTTACTTACGGAATAGCGTCGTGTTTCACGTGTGTCATTGCTCTGTAGTGAGGCGCATTTATCGTTAGGAAAGTCGTACATGTTACAGATTACGCTGGGAAGAAAGGACAGGATTTAACACATCACAACATCCAGGTCCTTTGTTTTGTTGCCATCGATCCCACATCACAGGTGGCTGACTACGATTCACGCGAACATACTTTCTTGGGAAATGGCGTCGTCTTTCACCACTCAGAAGCGCGGCACAGTTATCGTTAGTCAAGCAGTACATTTTGCAAAGTACTAGAAAGCCTAAAAGCAGGCCGGGACTTCCTCCGTCAAACTTTCTTAAGAACTAGAATTCAGAAAACTTCCTGAAAAACTTAGCCTACTGTTGCAGGCACCTTATACTTTAAGTCCTTTCCTTTACTTAAGTCCTGCAAACATAAAGCTTATCGCCGTAGACGTTATCCAGGGCCATTGGTATGTTTACTGCCCTTCCCGATACGACTTATGAAGCCATAGATAAGTACCGGTGTGTGGAGGACTACTACATATTCTAGTGAAAATTGCTCAATACCTCAGGCACAAGAATACGGTTTTTAGAAAAGGGGCACATTTCATAGAATTGAAGGATTCAGATGTGGTCAAAATAGTGAGCGCTAGCCATCAAACAGTATATAACTCATTGTGAAATGCCATTTAAGTTTATTTCTCTCAGGTCATTTGCATTTTGGAAACGTTGTAAGTTTGCTTGGTATAAATTTGAATATCTCATTAGTATATTTTTAGTTGAAGAGAGAAAAAAAGACTTCGCCTATGAAAAGACACCATACTGCATGACAATTCCTTAAGTACGTGATGTATTTCCAAATGTTCCGATAACGCCCTGAGAAGGGACATCTTGCAGATAAAGCCATCCACCACAGACGTTAACGGCAGTAAAAAGTACCTTCGCCTACATGTTTATGCGCTGATATCCTTTTTATGTGCCAATTTTACGATCGGGTCCAGCAAAATAGGACAGAGGGATAGGAAAATAGATTAGACACGCGGGGAAGTGGTAGATAGCGGTTTTGGGGGGCATTTTATCAAACGGAACAAATGGAAAGTTTGACTTGGGAAGCTGCGTGCATGTAGTGTACACATCAGGTGATTTACTCAGTTGGATCCGGGCGATCCTTTTACCTGGTGAAATGATTGTATCGCAGGAGGAGAAGACATATTTTATATTACATGTACGTATTTGAAAAAAAAGTCGTCCAACTTTTTCAGTTTTGCTGGGTTCATATCTTTGAAACATAAGAACATGTTTTTATGCCATTCTATTTTTTTTTTTTACTTCTGATTCAAATTTTGTCATATTCTTTGACTGTCCTTTTGATTCCTTTTCCATCAGTTTAACTCGGGACCCCGCGATTTTTCTTGACGCTTTCCTGACAAGTCCGCTATCAGCAAAACCGAGTTATGCATTCTCTCGGCCGAGGTGTGCTTTGCAGTTGTCAGATGTTATTGCCTGCAGATTGGGAACAAATGCGATACAACAGCTGGCAATACCGACTCTTACAGCCTCCACAGATTACTCCGCCTTACCAAAGGACCCTCGCAATCGCGCGAACTTGTACTTAACAGTGATTAAGGGGTCCGCTCCTTGTCAGCATCCCGCGATTACACACTGTAAAAGAGACGGCCTGGTATTGACGACACAATCTTGCGAACTTTCATGTCGGGGGGAATTGCCATTTAGGCTTAGCAATAATCAGCTACAACACGTGTGGAGGGGAGAGGTCGATATAGTCGGGACCTGACGCCCTTGGCCGGAGAGTGAGGTCGGAGAAAGGACAGTGGGCTGGGTCTGAGGCGTTAAGGGCACTCAATACAACAAGGTAAATTAGATAAACCCTATCGCTTTACATTCAGGGTGTGAACGTGCGGCATATGGCAGCATACTAACGTGTAGAAACTCTGCCGATTTGTTAACATACAGGCAGGTTGCAAATATAGGGCATAGAAGATCATGATCAACGCTAATATCATCATCAACGCTCCTGCTCTATCAATTACAGACATGTGGACATTTACCTGTAACCACAGAGGACTTAGAATCAGCTACCCCAATTATTTTGCCTCCGGAATCCTACGATAAACAACTTTAAGTCAGACACTAATTTACGACAAACATTCTGGTTATTTCTCGTGCTTCCGGAATGTTATGTCCGCTTGGAGAGCCGACATAAATTTCAGTACGTCTATGTGATTGAAAAACCTCCAGGCGAGTTTATGAACAGTCTTGCTGACACATAAAGACGTACACGTGTCGTTGAACTTTCCAGGGTGTGGTACTCTTGCTACACAGAGTGCGGGCGTGGGTTAACCAAACCAGTGTGTCTTTAGGGAATCTCCTACTTGGTGCTTCAAAACTTTCTTTAGTGTCAGGTTTGGTCGTCCTCTTCTCCGATTGGCATCCGCATAGCCAGAGGAGGTCTTTGCGGCCAGTATGCGGTTCTGATAATAACTTCAGTGATCAGGAGTAGACCAATGTGAAGTTTTTCTCAGTGATGTGCCTCTCCCAAGGAACTTCAAGAGCGAACCGAAGCATGTGGGCGTAGTTTCCATTCCCTTTCTGGGACAGGGATTTGGTTAGGGTCCAATCAACATTAGTAATACCAGACATGCTATAGAAGCAGTGGGTTATTGATTAACTCCCTGACAAAGACTGATAAGGCAAGTCAATTCTTTCGTGTTGGAAATTCATGCTCGCAATCCCTCTTTAAAAAAACCTACATTGATATATTCGTGCCTTCTTGAGTTAAGGAGCCGACGAAGATGTTCTGTGTGGTAGGTGTACTCAGTACGGAAAGGTTAAATGTAACACCCGTCCATTTTCTCACATAAAGTCTCCCCACCTGCCTGACCTCGTCCTTTAGAAGTGCTGCAGACGGAAAATGCCAGGTTCACTGGGGCTCCCTGTAGCGACTGGTGGGCGCTATAAAGCGAGGCCGCAGGTTAATTCTTCTCACGAAAATCGTTTGTAAATCACCAGGGGGATTTGCATCTTCTTCCTCTTTTCATCCATTGGTATTTAACTTTCAAGACTGGTATTGACATCCTGTCAGGCAGGGCCAACTTAATGCAGACCGTGTCGGTCCTCTTTGCCATGTAGTTTCAGAACAAGGAAACATGTACTGGAAGTGTACTTTACTAAGCAAACTTTTCACGATTTCCCC